TTATTCTCTTGACATGCCTTGGCCTGAGTCACAAGGCTCAAATCTACTTCCTTAAGTTGGGGTTTCAATAATGTGCACTAGCTCCAACTTAAGATATTGAATGATTGGGCCTTCATAAAGATTTACGTTGGATTCAATGAGTAAATATTGATTGGGCACTCGAAAAGATTGGCTTTGGTTCTAATGATTATATACTAATTGGGCATTCGAAAAGATTGGTGTTGACTCTAATGATTGAATACTGACTCGGTTTTCAAAAAGATTCTTAGCTCTAGTGTATTGACTTGACTTGTTCCCCATGTGAAAAATGGTTTCTTGTGGGACCGCATGTGAGGATGCTTGTTGGTGAATAGAATTCCACATTGAACATATGACAACAAAATATACAATTAATATATGGAAGGTTCTACCCCTAATAATGCTAAAGTTTTTGTGATAAAACACAATACTATTATTAGGGATTAAATTGAAATAATACTAGTGATATTATGATGGATTATGCTAGGCCCTCACATAGTCCTATAATGTTGCATATAAGTTGTGACTCTAAATGGTAATCTACTCTCCAAAAATAACTGCATGCACTATCTTTTCAGAAAAATTAAGCTCTTAAACTCATAAAAAACTGTCCATCGTTTGTCGCTTGTATTAACTTAACTACGTATATTTACTATAACCAGCATCTTGATAGTCAGATGATGATTACATTAAATGTATATATTTATATAAATTTAGTCTAACTATCAAATGATAGTTACATTAAATACATGTAAGTAGTCAATTCGTTGATAATATGTCCCTTAGACACACAAAGATGTATGGTTTAGGACGTGTGGTATTATGGCACATTATTGAAGTCCTGTAACACAAAGATCACTTCAAGACTTCAAGTAGTCAAATAGAATGAAATAAAAAAAACAAAGCTCATAATTTACTTTGTATTTTTACAGATAAAAAAGAGAAAGAAAAAAAAAGAAGAAAAGTTGATGTGCCGCTTCAGACAACGGTCACTAAAGGTGCATAGTGGGTTTGGACCCACACGCTCTAGAAACCAGGACTAACATAAAGAGTAGAAAGTTGGGCAATCAAATGGCCCAACCAACCTTGAGTCCTGACGTCCCTTGTCATTTCCAAACATCTTCAATCTTTTTTTCCATCTAAATTCAAAGGCCACCCATCTCGCTCTTCAATCTGTCTTCCATTTTTCATGACACTTTCATCTCAATACTCAACTCACCACATTCACACACATACAAAACATTTCTTAATTACCTATTTTGCATATATGTACAGAGGAAGATTCGAATTCAGATAAAGAGGAGCACTTGCTTGAACTAACTTGGCTAAGTTTAAATATGCTATAGTTAAAACACTTAAAAGCATTGGTTTAAAGAAAAATGTCCTTCAACTAGAGTGTTATTACACTAATTTAATTTATTAAGTGTCGAACATTATCAATTTTTAGAGGGTCTAAACTAATTAAGTATTATAGGTTACGATAACCTTCTTGTTTTACCTTGTCGACCAAAGATTCTCTCATGTCACGAATTCATTATGTGATATTAATTTATTGTAGTAGTACACTTTTAAATACGTAGCAAGTAGTTAATGAACAATAACACTACTGAAACTAATTCTTGGTTGCATGTAGGCTTGGCAAACGGGTCGTGTCTGTTGTGTTCGTGTCGTTTTTGTATAACACATGTTATCTTAACGGGTCGTGTCGTGTCATACTTGTTATTTGAACGGGTCCTTAACAGGTCGGGTCACTTTACCAAACGGGTAAAGTGACCCGTCCTGTTAAGGACCCGTTAAGAAAAATGTATTTTTTTGCTTAAACTTGCACATACCACACATTGCCACATAAATATTACTTCAAAACATTAAAACACATTTATCGTTTAAGTACTGCATCTACACTTGAAAATAAGAGCCTAATAAACAAACATTCATACAATTACAAAATATTAAATGTGCAAGGATATGCAAAATGAAAGAGTTTTTGTTTTTAAGGTTGTGAAGCTTTTCTCAAAAGTTTAAACCTTGCCAATGAAACTCAAAGGTTGAATGTAATTCCTTTTACAAAATCCTCAATTTTCATCGATCATCATGACATAAGATTTTGTGGTATCCACTTGTGTAAATATTTTAAATTGAAGATTGAATTCATTCATTGTATTCATATGGGGTCAAGGAGTGTATAAAAAATCAACAAAATCAAAGTTAAAATAACCGTTAAATCGTGATTTTTCGTTGATAATCGTTGAAAAGTTTTGTCCCGTTACTTGATATCTGAATGTTTGTTTTTGCGATTTCTGGAGTATGCGATCTTGAAGTATATACAAACAAGTTTGATGGTTGGATCATTGAAATTATTTTTATAGAATGCGTATCCCATCAAAACGATAAATTCACTAACACCTAGAGTTTATTTATACTTTCATCAAGTATAACATAAGATTTTGTGATATCCACTAGGGTAAATATTTTAAATTGAAGATCAAATTCATTCATTGTATTCAAATAAGGTTAAGGAGTGTAGCTTTAAAAAAATCATCCAAATCGGAGTTAAAATAACTGTTAAATCATGATTTTTCGTTGATAACTATCGAAACGTTTTGTCCCATTACTTGATCTCTAAATTGTTGTTTTTTGCAATTTTTGGCGTATGCTATCTCGAAGTATATACAAACATATTTGATGGTTGGATCGTTGAAACTAGTTTTGTAGAATGTGTATTCCATCAAAGCAATAGATTCACTAACACTTAAGAGTTTATTCATACCCACTAGTGTAAATATTTTAAATTGAAGATCGAATTCATTCATTGTATTCAAATAAGGTTAAGGAGTGTAATTGTAAAAAATTATCCAAATCGGAGTTAAAATAACCGTTAAATCGTGATTTTTCGTTGATAACCGTCGAAACGCTTTGTCCTGTTACTTGATATTTGAATGTTTTTTGGCGCATACGATCTTGAAGTATATTCAAACAAGTTTGACGGTTGGATCGTTGAAACTAGTTTTGTAGAATGCGTATCCCATCAAAATAATAGATTCACTAACACTTAAGAGTTTATTCATACTTTCATTAAGTATAACATAAGATTTTGTGGTATCCCCTAGTGTAAATATTTTAAATTGAAGATCGAGTTCATTTATTGTATTCATATAGGGTCAAGGAGTGTAGCTATAAAAAATCATCAAAATCGGAGTTAAAATAACCATTAAATCATGATTTTTCGTTGATAACCGTCGAAAAGTTTTGTCCCGTTACTTGATATCTAAATGTCTATTTTTTTCAATTTTTTGGCATATATGATCTCGAAGTATATTCAAATAAGTTTGACGGTTGGATCGTTGAAACTAATTTCGTAGAATGCGTATCCCATCAAAATAATAGATTCACTAATACTTAAGAGTTTATTCATACTTTCATTAAGGATAACATCATCCACTAGTGTAAATATTTTAAATTGAAGATCGAGTTCATTCATTATATTCATATAGGGTTAAGGAGTGTAGCTGTAAAAAATTATCAAGATCGGAGTTAAAATAACCGTTAAATCGTGATTTTTCGTTGATAGCCGTTGAAATGTTTTGTCCAGTTACTTGATCTCTGAATGTTTGTTTTTTGCGATTTTTTGTTGATGCGATCTCAATGCATATACAAACAAGTTTGACGGTTGAATCGTTCAAATTAGTTTCGTAGAATTTGTATCCCATCAAGTTCAATGGTGTCTATATATATATATTTATTTATTAAGTAGATTTAAATTTATATATTTTGTATGTATAACACTTAAGAAATTGAATGGTATGCATATTTAAGCCGATCCAGTAGTCACCAATTTTTAATATTTAATTTAATATATATATATATATATAGTTATTGTGGTTTTTAGGGGTATAAAATTGTTAAATTAATATATATATAATTATTATAATATTTTTTTAGGGTTATAAAATTATAAAAGTAATATTTTGCTTATCGTGTATCGTGTTACCCACGTGTATATCCGAACCAACCCGTTATCTTAACAGGTGCTTATCAGGTTACCCGATAATGACCCGATTCGTTATCGTGTCAATCCGAACACCTGTTAATTTCGTGTCGTATTGTGTCGAGTTATAGAGATGTGTCAAGAATTGCCAGGTCTAGTTGCATGAGATTAGAGAATCTCTCATCATTGACACGTTTTTGAGGGTTGGGAGGATTGTTTATCAATATTTCGAATTGGGTTTTCATTTTCCTAGTTAAATATTGTTGCTTGAAAGGTGTAGGAGATGAGGTTGCAAATGATGTAGCTGTATAGGGTTCATCCCTGCTGTTAACTAATTTTGAATGTATGCTTCGTATCAATTGTCAAAAAGTGAGCGGACAAAAAGGCACAACAAAATTAAAAAATATATATATACCAAATGTGTCCTGAAATGCCAAAATTATATTATATGTTGAATTCTTTGCCGATTCATTCGTTCAAGGGTGTTTTTCTATAATGTTTGGAGAAGGCATCTTGACATCACATAAAAGGACATTGACAAAGGGTTTACGGCATTAGCAAATTAATATGATACAGCTGTCTGCTTCTAGTGACCCATTTTGAATTTCGATAAACCCTACTTTGGAAAAATCTTGGGTCTAATTGGTTGTACATTTTTTGTCTACTTTTCTCAACATATGATATATCAGATGACGAAGATAGAAAGCGCTTATACAACCATTTACATGATAGAATCTCTTTATATGCAAACTTAGACAGTCGCATATCTAAATTGACTAAAACAATATACTTCCTTTCCCCGTAATCTAGGTTACAAAGTTGCAGTGTGCATAGTTGGCAACCTACTTAATTCGTAGTCTTCTTTCCTGGAAGTGATAAGTGAGCTTGACACTTCATTTGCATAATACTTATTAATCTTCATTCTCGTTCAAACTATATAAGTGAGCTCGAATAAAAAATAGTCAATTTGCTAAAGCAGTGTGTTACCCCTCCTACTCCTAGTTTAGATTTAACTTTAGAATATCGCTCGAATAAAAATAGAAAAATATTCAAATTACTTATGTGAATAGTACTTATTAGTCCTTATTTTTACCTTCTCTATATAGGAGTTGTAAGTCAGCTTGACACTCCATTCTTGATGTGTTAACACTCAAAACCTCCCACTGCACTCCAAATATATGGTAAAGTTCGGTTTCGTGCTCTCTACAAGTTAACTGCTTATGTTTTCACAGTTTTGTGCTCTCTACAAGTTAGCTGTTTATGTTTTCACAGTTTTGTGCTCTCCACAAGTTAACTGTTTATGTTTTCACATTATCCTTTGCTATCCGTTGTTTACCATGAAGGAATTGCTCCTATTTATTGCTTGGTTTTCTTCTCATTTCCACTTTTCAGTCCATTCTTGGGTACATAATTTGATTTCCTGATAAGGATATCACCTGAAAAGGTATCACATTATTTGATTTCAGTTCAATGTTTCAGTCATTGTTTGCGGATATTATTATCAATATGGGAGTTCTGTTTTCAGTTTGCTGGATATTTTGAATTATTTTGCGCTCATCTGTTATAAATGTTTAATTGGGAGTGGTTTGAGTTTTTCGGCTTCAGTTTCATCTGATTGTCGTGTGCATGAAACGGACTAAATTAGACGTGATACAATGTATATCCGATGATTTTAGTTTGATCTGTTGATCTTTGATTTACTGCAAATACAATTTGATGGATGAACTTTTCCCAAACCAAAACCAGTCTGCATTTATCTAAAACCTGCATTTTCGTTCTATTGTTGCACATTGATCGGTTTCTTATCGTTTTATTTTCAGCTACATTACCCTCTGTAAGCTGCATCTCTAGTCCAAGAACAATGTGAAAGGCAATTGAATATGAAGTGATATTTTTGTGCCCTTAACTGCAGAATGAATGTATCTGCTGAAGGAGTTGAAGCTGTGGCAGAGGTTGTTCCTTGGGAAGAAGTATCTGAGTCATTGGAGCAAAAGAGGATTGATTATTTAGCAGCAAAGAAAAAATCACTGCGAGCCCGTTATATATATGGCGTAATCTTCTTATTTACAAATCTTTGTGCTTGGTTTATTCGTGACTATGGGCAAAGGGTTCTGCCTCAGCTCCATTGTATGTAACAGTTCTCCCTTCTCACAATATTTGGTTTTACTTCTAACTTAATTTTGGTCCCCACCATTATAAAACGTTATGCAGATCAAAAGCTCATAGTCCTATGTTAATTTCGATTACTCGCCTTATGAATTCTGAGCTATATTCATTGCGATCTTTATCTGATACAATATCCCAAAAACATGTTCTTTCTCACATAACCAACATTTAAAAACTGAAATTTCTAATCCTGCCATACATTAATGGAGGTGGTTTACACATAATTGGGAATAGAAAAGGTATATGTGGTGATGTTTTCTGTGTGTTTGCTTCTTAAATTTCTATTGCAGATTTTAAATCTTGTGGAATTCGCGGAAGTGATTGTTTCCGTACGCTGGGAGTTCTTCGCGTGAGTTTAGGAAGCTGTGTATCTTTCTTCTAGGCCTATGAGTGCTTTTCTGTTACAGAAGAACCTTATTACATATGTTGATTGTTGAGTCATGAGATTCTGATGGCAGGATTGATATCTGTTATCATATAATGGATAATGAAATAGCTTATACCAATAAATTGTTACTGTATATTTCATCTTTGTTTTCGGCTACGAATTTTCCTATCTATAATTCTCTGCCCTTAAAGATCAAGCATCCTTAACATCGAATTCAGATATTTTTCTTTCTAATGTTCCTCACTGCATCTAAAACAAGAAAACTAAGTGAAGCTCACAATGTATGGCATTCTGGATGGTGGGGATTCAAGTTTTGCATATTGTTTGTGTCAATGGTGGTTCCACTCTTCATCCCTCCACACTTCATTCAATTATACGGTACATTTATTTGAGGCTCAATCAGAAACACTTCATGGCATATATATTTTTTCGCCTTTCTTGATCTTCGGTATTTTATGCAACAGCTGAGAAACAACATGACTTACTTGACCCATCTGGTTTTAGAATATAGGAGAAGAATCTGTTTCAATGGTTATTTTTTGCAATCACGCCAGATTTATGCAAGTAGATACTATGCTTAAGAAAGAAAATAACATAATCTGTGCCGAATAACAGAATATACTTTATATGGGTTCTGTCACCAACAAATACTAATACTTTCCTTCAAATGAAACACCTATGACCTATCTCATCCTCCATTCTTGATGCATCTTAAAAAATAATTTCTAAAAATTAACAAACTTTTCCTATTTTCTTACAGGTGAATTTGCTCGTGTCGGTGCAGGGTAACATTTCTGATTTTGATTCTACACATGCTTGAACTGCTTGCTGTTAAGCCATATTTAAAACTTTTCAATTCTATATTGGAGACGGAGAGTGGTTTTAGAAATCTGTGGTGCCGTTTAACTAAATGTGTAGAAAACCAAAATCTAAAACTAATGAACAAATCTTATGCAGTGTTAGAATAGAAATAGTTCCTGTTAGATCTTAGAAAGACATTGTTTCAACCCCTTGTTAAGATGAAGGTGCAGCATGGATTGCAGAAAATTTTATGGCTAACATATGGTTTGTATTCTTCATGACAGGATATTTCTCGTTCTTCAACTTATAAGTGTGATCCAGTTTATTACATGGTGGAATAAGTACTGGATGCCTGATGAGCAAAAGAAGCACAGGTATGGCTTCTTATTAACAAGGACTCGATGATGCTTCCATTCCGTGTGATATACAAATTCATTGTTGGTACTGTACTTCTCAGATGAACTTCGTCACAGTGTATTTCTAGCTCCTTTAGTCCAAGCTCACGTCCCTGCACAATTTTCTGTTACATACCCTTCAATATCCATGACATCTTTTACTGCAGCACAAAGTATCCACATATTGATGTATGTTAGTTAAATTGCCAATATTCTGGTTTATCGAGGGAAGGAAAGGATAGTTATATTCGGAATCACACAGTATTCTATTATCTAAGCATAACTTAAGGAATTATGACTATTACTTTATCTTTTTATTTCTTCTGTTGGTCATAAGTTCACTTGATAGATCTTCTCTTATACTCTACAGCTGCTCCCTTGGGTTATTCATGTCTACACTGTTTTACATTGCTTCTATGGGTGGGATCGCATTCATGTACTCATCATACGGGATGAAATTATCGTGTGCTCTCAACATCTTTTTCATCACATGGACTGTGATTCTACTTGTCGTGATGATGGTGATATCACTACATTCGAAGGTATACATTTCTCTTCGCAGCACTTTTATCTGATGTATATCTTCATTTTAGTATTTTTCTTTTGTTCAAAGATCGCATCCTTACTCGAGTTAAGAAGAGATTCTCTGTGTTTGCTTAAAAACAGGTTAACAGAGGTCTTTTATCTTCCGGAATTATGGCTTCATATCTTGTTTTCCTATGTTGGTCTGCCATCAGAAGGTTAGGACTTCAATCCGTGTTTCAAGTGTTCAGATTCAGCTAAACTTTCTATGAGATGTTTTCTCACCGTTCTTAACTCCTCGTGCTTATTGTGTATCGGTTATATTCTCCGGTAGTAAATTTATGCCATGAATTATTTAACTTTCGTCTAAATCAGGATATTTCATGTTTCATTCAACTTAAAAAATTAGTTATTGTGCTGATCTTAATACATGGATTTTCAGTGAACCTGCAAATGAGGAATGCAACAATCGAAAACAAGGGAATGAAGGTCACGATTGGACTACTGTACTAGTAAGAGTTGATTAGTTCTTTTTTTTTTCTTTTTGTTTTTTGGTTGCCTCCTTCAACTGGTTCCGAGTTCTCACTTTGTAGATCATTAAATCGGGCTTGGATATTCTAGTATTCCACCGATGAGTTTAACAATACACACACCAAATTTACTCAGTATCAATCTCAACAGCAGTAATATGGTTGTGTTACGCTGTCCCTCGAGCAGGGCTTCCTGATCGCGATATGTTCTATTGTCATGGCGACTTTTTCAACTGGCATAGATTCACAGTCATTTCAGGTGAATACTTTCTCTTTGTGTGTTGCAAGCATAAATTATACTAACCTTATTGGTTGCTCAGACAATGGCAGAGAAAGTATTAAAGAGAGCAAAGTTTGAAATTTTCAACATTGTTTCTTACTGCTAAAACTTAAAAGTTACCAAGATGTTCAATCCTGTTATTTAGCAGAAAACTAAAACCTACTTCTCGTGCTATCCAGTTTTACAAAGATCAAGTTCGAGAGGACGACGACATCCCTTACAAGTACGGATTTTTCCACCTAACATTTTCCTTGGGGTGCATGTATTTTGCGATGTTGTTCATCAGTTGGAACCTCAGTAACTCTGCTAAGAAGTAAGGAATCATCTATCATTCACAGATGACTTTATTTGGGAGATCTCCATTTCGTATGATATCGATATGTTTAACTAACACTCTGGAAAAAACATTCAGGTGGAGCATCGATGTCGGATGGACTAGTACATGGGTAAAAATCCTCAACGAATGGTTTGCAGCTTCAGTATTCTGTAAGTAACTCCGTATGTATGATTTCTTAGTTGGATTGCTTCTGTACACGTAAATCGGTTTATTTTTGTGCATACCATCATCTTTCTGGGTTTTTAAATTAAATTTTAATGCAGTATGGACGTTGATTTCGCCGGCGGTGAGGCAGTCGAAAGTGATGGATCGTGAAGAGGCTGTGCAGGAGATTGATAACTCAGACGTGCCATGATTGATTGATTATGTAATCTTCATTTGTTACATGGCCATTATTCTTTCTGCATCTGTTATACTTCAAACAAGTCACCAAAGACACAGGGACGAATAAGCCATTAATATTCCTTTTTTTTTTCTTTTTTGGAGAAAATTTCGAAGTCAATCCCACTTCAATATTGCTATAACGGCAGTCAATTCCAATAAAAAGAGAATAGTATTTCTTGAAACTACTGTTGTATAACCCAAGTCCTTAGTATTTGAGTTGATTTTCACACCCTTTTTAACTTAGGACACCCCGTTATTTATCTATAACCATTTGATTGAATAAACTAAGGAAGGCCTGAGGCTGAGCCTAAAAAACGTCAAACAACTAAAAGATAGTAGCCCTATCAAGAGCCCGACCTTGATGTCATCCTCGATAATTTTTTTATCACATTAGTAGCTAACATTTCAATCACGGAGTGTTTCGTCGTGTTACTCATATTATAACTACAATCAATATAAACATCATCAATAATATTGTTACAAAAATCGATCCTTTGGTGCCTTAAAAGGATAAGTTTTTTTTTTTGTACGAACAACATGCACAAAGAAATTTATGTTGCCTTAAAAGAGTATTGTCAAATGCCTATAAAATTAAAACAACATAACCAAGTCATTTATTTTATTTTATATAAAAGTCAAATTTTGTTTCATTATTCTATGATAATTTGTTTGGTTGTACCCAATGCTCTGTGGACACATCGCCCACTGCTATTCTATCAACCACTAATTGCATAATTTGCATATGATTTTTAGCTTAGAGCAACTCCAGCGTTGTAAAAGCCCCTTAGGGCAAGTCACTATTGAATAGCCTTCAATGAATAGTAACTGCTTTTAATGAACTGTAACTGTCTTTTGCATCTCCACTCCTACACTAAATAGCCGTGACAATATGCAATAAAATATTAGTATATTTTATTTTATAAAATATTACAAAATAATTTTATTTGTAATTTCGGATAAGATTTGTAATCGTTCTCGTTGCGCCACGTGTCATTATCCGAGAAGATAATTTTTTATGATAGATTTCAATAAGATATTTATCCAATGCCGTCGTGCCACGTGTCGTTATCTTTTCAGAATTATTGAGGATAGATTTCCGATAAGATTTTTAACCAATCACGTCGCGTCACATGTCACAATTTGTTTACAATCTTTGATGATAGATTTCAATCAGATTTTTAACGAATGACGGCATACCACGTGACATTATATGCAATCTAATCCTTTCTTTTTCCTCCATATAACCCACCATCCATCCTAAGAAATCACACACCAAAATCAAAATCTCTATCATTATTCATCATTTTTCCAATGTCTTTCTCAAGGATGTTGTGGGAAATCAATGAGCAAGAGAAATAATTGTTTAAGCAAGGGGAAGAAATGTTCAATCTCCAGGTGCATGAAAATGTGATGGAAAAAGAAGAGGATGAGAAGCGTAGAAGGAAAGATGACGAAGTAAGAAGCCAAAGAGCCTTACAATCCCGTCGAGTCATCCAAGCTGTGGCTCAGATCTCCAGGACCAACTGTTCCGCAAACCTTGATAAAAGCAGGCAACGACGAGGTATAAATCTCTTGGACGATTATTTTTTCCGTAACAGTGCATTCCCTGATACGTACTTTATACGTCATTTTAGAATGGAACGACGTTTGTTTAACAAAATCATGATTGCTGTTTGCAACCATGATTCTTACTTTGTGCAAAAGAAGGATGCTTTTGGTGTTAGGGGTCTCATTCCTGAGCAAAAAATTACTGCTGCCTTGCGGATGCTTGCATATGGAGCACTTGTAGACCAAGTGGATGAGATAGCGAGGATAGGGAAAGCAACCATTCTTGAGTCCCTGATGAGGTTTTGCTCCGTAGTCGAATCTATCTACATCGCAAAGTACCTCTGGCGACCTACTGAGATGGACTTGCAAAGGCTTCTGAATAAGGCCAAGATGCGAGGTTTTCTTGGGATGATTGGAAGCATCGACTGCATTGCACTGGACCTGGAAAAACTATCCAAGTGCATGGCAATGAGCTTATTGGGACAGAAAAGGAGCAAAGAGTATCATTTTGGAGGCGGTGGCATCATTTGATACATGGATTTGGCAAGCTTTTTTTGGTGTTCCAGGGGCTCAATATAACCTCAATGTCCTTACCCAATACCTAGTGTTCAACGATGTTCTGCAAGGAAAAACACCAAGAGTCACGTACTGGGTTATCGGACGTAAGTACCACGGGCCATACTACCTAGCAAACGACATTTACCCAAGATGGTCATCGTTTGTCAAAACAGTGCCACGTCTGGGAAGTGCAAAGGAAAAACACTTTGCAAGCTATCAAGAAGGGTGTAGGAAGGATGTGAAGCGTTATTTTGGTATCCTCCAAGCTCGTTAGGCGATTGTCAAGGGTGCTACCAGAATGTTTGATTTAGAGTCGCTTTGATCCATCATGATAACGTGCATCATTCTTCACAACATGATTGTGGAAGATGAGTACGATTATGATGCTGGTGATGAATATGAGCCAGACACGATGAACAATTCCAGAACATAAATATATTATGCTCATGATGCCACTGAAAAACCCGTGCAACACGAGCCATTACAAATGGATGGACGTTACAATGAAAGGCTCATTCAATGATATACTGCACTTTAAGACCCATATATGCACAATGCCTGACAAATTGACTTGATAGAGCACCAATGGAAATTAAAACAAGCTGAAGAAACTTAAGTTCATTTAGTGTGTTTGTTTTTATTTGGTGTGTTTATTTAATTTTATTTGGTGTGTTTTTTAAGTTCATTTAGTGAGTTTTTTTTTTAAATTTTTATTTGGTGAGTTTGTAATTTTATTTGGTATGTTTATGTAATTTTATTTGGTGTGTTTATGTCCTTTGAATAAAGATTCTCTTAGTTTAAATAAATTACCAAATTAAATAAATATACTTTTAGTTTAAATAAATTACCAAATTAAATAAATGTACTCTTAGTTTAAATAAAGTACAAAATTCAATAAATTGGAACCAGCATAAAGTAATCTATTCAATAAATAAGAAATTACAACCCAAAGTGATTGGAAAATTATGGGCTCCGATTAAAAACAAATTCCCTAGTCTTTCTTGAATGGAAAATCATCACCTAACCAATTTGTGGGGCTAGTATCATCTCCTCTTGTGATGCTAGGACCATCTCCTCTTGCTCTCGCTTCCCTTGCACGCCTCATTCGCACCACGTCTGCTTTCTCCAAATTCCAAAAATATTTAGAATTCGGTGACTTCCCCTCTACGGGCTCCTTCATAATGTCACGATCTTGTTGAGCCATTCTTTCTTCTTTAAGCTCTTCCCTTTCTTGCCTAAGTAGCTCTCTTTCTCTCTCATTAGCTTAAAATAATCTCTTAGCAACTGTAGCTTTTGCCTCCTCTCTAGCCTTGTCAACCTCAAATTTAACCATTTCCCGTGCCAAAGTCAATTCACCTTGGCGAGCAAGTTCTTCCATATATTTTCCATAATCATTCTTGGAAGTACTCCCTTTTCTCTTTGAAGCCTTCTTACCTAGAGGCCTAATTGGATATTGGGTCGACCTCGACGCTTGTTCAAGGGGCGTTTTTGGCATTTCTTCTGTTTCGGTTTCATGAACATACGAATCATGAACGGGCGTAGAGTGTAGAGGGGTGTTGCTCATGACAACTTCTAGACCAACAAGCACAACTCTGAATTAAGCACAATCTTTGACAATATTCTAACATTCCCACTGGGTGAATGATTTGTTTTTTTCTTTTTTTTTTTGGTTTTGGCATTATACCAAGCTTGTACTTGAAGTGTCTACACAAAGGGAGAAGAAATAATTATAATCAAAGTAGCTAATCTAAATTTTGGTATAGTATAAACAAATAAATAATATATTGTTACCTGATCCACTAAATTTTCCTCATTTCGAAGATTAGAACTAGTTTGTGCCAAGGCGTCTCTCCAAAGACTAAACGATTGGCTGAGTATTCTCTAACGACTGGACATCGATTCTTTGGTTCTTTTCCCACCAATTTTCTCAAGATAATTGGTATTAATAGGACACCACATCTCTCGCAACTACATCTCATTACCCGTAATCGGATCATGAGTAATTTCAACCCAGTTAGAACACAATATATCATCTTCAATAAGCGTCTTCGTACCTGCATCATTAGTCATTTTGTTGGAAGCCAAATGGATTGAAACTTTGAGAGAAAGATTGGAATATGGTTGAAAGTGTTTGAGAAAATATGAAATTGTGGTTGAAACTTTGAGAAAATATGAAATTTGGATTGAAACTTTGAGAGAAAGATTGGGAAGTGGTTTAAAATATTTGAGAAAATATGAAATTGTGATGTAAGGTAGAAGATAATGAGAAGGTATTTATAGAAAAGTAAAATCATTTTTTTTTTTAATTTTTAATGTTTTTTTCGGATTTTTTAATTAATTTTAACATTTTTTTATTACCTTAATTAATTTTTGCCGTTGGATTAAAAAAAAATCAAAATCCAACCCTCCAGAATGTGCCACATAGCATAACGGTACCTTTTCAGATTTTTTTAATGTTAATTCTTTTTTTTTTTTTTAAATTTATAAAGGTGAATAACGTAGACCATTGATTTCAAATCCAATGGCTAATATTTAGGAAGGTTTTAAAAAAAAAATTACTGTTGGAAATCCAACGATCTAGAACAAGTAACCGTTGAAATCCACCGGACGAGAAAAAGCCATATGGCCACCAATGGTAACATTCTACCATTTGCACCGCGGGCCCCAGGCTTCTGGAATGTTGTCAGGGTGCGCCCCTACGTGCGTGTGTTGTGCATGCGCCTGACGCAAAAATAATAAAACAGTGGCTGACGCCACCCTGACGTCAGCATTGCATCACTTGGCCCTCGGGCTCTCAGGCCACCAATTAGAGTTGGCCCTCTCACTCAGCCCCTCCCCCCCCCGGCGTGCCCAATCGCCCTCTGGGCTGGAGTTTGCAGCTCTGATTATTGGGTTGGTGAAGTCGTCGGTCCATCAAGCTAAGTGTCCTGGTGGAGTTACTCTTAAATAATTGCTGTCAAGAAGTCCTAAAACAAAATGATGCACGTTTAAACTAGGGGTGGGCAAATGGGCCTAGGGCCTGCGGGTAGAGGCGGGTAATAGTGGTTTGAAGCAAGTACGGGGCGGGTCTATATTGTTTTATATACAAAATGGGGCGGGTCGAGTCCAAGTAAACAATGGGTCGGGGTGAACCCAATATTTTGAAAACACGGGCCGCCAGCCCGAACTGTATCCAATAAATAGGAGTAACCCAGTGTCGTGCCACTCTAATCTCACACACATTCTCAAATCTCACACTTAAATCTGACCCTGTCACTTTCTCGAAGACTCTGCCAGACTCTCCTCAGTCATCCCTCTCGATCTCTCTCCCCTATAGTCCTCCCTCTCGATCTTTCTCTCCGTTCTCAGTCTCTCTCTCTCTCTCTCTCTCTATCGAACCCTTATCCCTCTCGATTCTCAGTCTCTCAGTCTTTCTCTCTGTCGAACTTGAGGGGACGAACAACGAAGTCAAACAACTTGAAACGATGAATCAGTCATCTCCTCTGTCTGACTTAGATTTGCATGGAAGTTGAGCTTTGCTGACGGTCGCACAACAAAGATGATCAAGAAGGATGAGGACAAGACCGCCTCCCTTGACAGCATCACGAAGAAGGAGATTGGCGTCTTTCATTGGTGCTATCTCTCTGGTTTGTTTCTTGATTTCAAGCTGTTTGTGGGGGATTCTAAGTAATTAAAAAAAGGGATCTAGAGAAGGAATTTGTTATTTTTTTTTCCTGATGCATGCAATCATTGCTTGGAGCTAAAGCTGTGGTAAATTGTTAAATTTTGGATTTTGATCAATTGGGTTATATTGTAATGCAATCTTTGGAAATTAGTCATCTGGGATTCTGGATTGTCTAAAATTCATTTTTTTTTTTTAAATTAAAGTTTGTTGCTTTGAAGGTTTTTCCTGAGGAGATCAGCTGGGTGTGTAAACTACGATTGAATTTTGAGATTTTTGGTGAATGGTTATACTGGGAAATTTGATAGGGAAGGAATTGGAAATGTACCCGTGAGGATCCACCCCGCCCCACCCCGTTGTATTTTCAAGCAGGTCCGGTCTGGTCTCTCCAATTTTGGGCCCTGCCTGGTCTGTGCCCACCCCTAGTTTAAACAACTCCATCTCACAAATCCTGTTTCTTCATTCTATATAAAAGCAGAAGCCATTTCCCAAACTAAACAATCACAAAAGCACTTTCCCTTCTCCTTCAAAATCCTCAAAACCCCATCAAACTGCAAGAAAAAAACACGTCAACTCTTCAACATGTTTAACCAGTCTCTTTTTTACATTTTGGTCACATTGCTAATTGCCTCAGTGGTCAAGGCAGCGGTTGACCCAGTCCAAGTCAGTGGCCATGAGCCAATCCTTGGGATGTACATGCATGACATCTTGGGAGGCATCAACCCCACAGCTAGGCCCATCACTGGTCTACTTGGCAACATTTACGGCGGCTAAGTGCCCTTTGCCAGGCCCATAGGCTTCCTGCCGCCACAAGGCGGGGTAGCCATTCCCAATGCTAATGGAGCCAGTCCAACCGTCAACGGCGTTAATGGGATTCCACTTGGCACCTGCTTAGCTGGTACAACATTCTCTGGAAAACAAAGTGATCTGGTTCCTCATACTCCATTAAGTCCAGACGGTTTGAGCCTGGGATTTGGAACCATCACTGTCATCGATGATATTCTGACGACATCACCTGAGCTGGGCTCGCAAACGATCGGAAAGGCCCAGGGCGTCTACGTGGCCAGCTCGGCTGATGGGTCGACGTAGATGATGGCGTTCACAGCCATGATTGAAGGAGGTGAGTATGGGGACACCTTGAACTTCTATGGGATATTCAAAATTGGGAGCCCCATGTCACATTTGTTTGTGACTAGAGGGACTGGGAAGTTCAAGAGTGCAAGTGGGTTTGCTGAAGTCAGGTTCCTCATACCTCGTGGCCAACATGTCACTGATGTGGCTAAGACTTTGCTCAGGATCATCGTTCATCTGAGTTACTGAGAATTTGATGGTGTGGAGATTTTAACTACAAAGTTTGATTTTATTTTATTTGATTTTACTGTTGGTTAATGCTCAAGTTTTTCAAAATTGAATTTGTATTTCAATTTTAGTTTTGTTATTCATATATACAAGTACAAAATTCCTGTCTTTCATTTGGTCAGTTTCTTCTAATTATCGAAAACTATTGCAGCTGTGTTTCTGTGTTTTGGATCTTTAAGTCCAAGCTCATCTGTGGAAAAAGAACTATGACAAAGGCCGTGTTATATAAGTGTATACAGAAATGAACAAACTAAAAATTATTGGAAAGTCGAGGTTTTCTTGATATTGGATTTACATCAAACTGTGCCTTCTTACAAATCGAGCTTGAACGAATTGCTCCATTTTCTTGCAATCCAAGAAACTCCTATAAAGAAAATAGAAAGACAATTGAAACGAATCCAAGTGCACGAACCAAACGGGACAATTGAGAAAATGAAGAGAACCCTGATAGGATCGATGGGAAGAGAGCCTTGGAAGCAAAAGCAGGCACTGAGATTTCAAAGAGAAGAGAGGTTGTTGAACTTAGGTAGGGGCCAAATGTACGAGGAGCAAGATTTAAGGAGCCCCCAATAGCCAGAGGTATTAAGAAACATATAGCACTTGAAAGTTTTTGCCTGAGAATGACAAACAACTTTCATCGCTTTTAACTCACGGAAAGGCGAAATCTGACTTAACACGTTGGCTGACAATCCAATCCAAAGTGAGTAAAACCCATATATCTAGCAAAATTCGAAGCAAGCAGTGCTATTCCTAGTGTTGTGTTCTGTACAAGGATAAGAATATATGTGCCTTGGTGGAGAGTGAATGCTTTTTACTGAGCATATATGAGACTTGTTTCGTACCTATAACGTCAAGTTCATTTTACAAACCTATTTGAAAGATGACCATGGAAAATAAAATTAGGCTTGGACCTTGGACTTTGTTCGGGTGTGATAAGATGGGCCTCAGACTTTAATTAAATATTAAATTCAATAATTAATTTATTAAACTAATTTTGGATTTAGTCTAACCTTTTTTATTTTCAACATACTCATCCTTTTGGATGAAGTCTGATAGTGTCTAAAAAGGTATGAGGACGAAGCCATGCACTCCTTTTATTGAACAGTCGCCTCCCAAATTCATACATGTTGCAAACAGGTATATTTTTACTATATATACATACATTTGCATATCAATCAAACACACATAAATCATTCTTCCTACGAATTATACCAAATTCTATCTGTCTGAGAGAACCAGAATGACATTTGCCAGAAGTCAAGTTTTTTGGTGCTGGGATCTTGACTTAGATCGTTGAATCCTGGTGAAACTTATGTCAATCAAACTACAAGCACAAAGTAGGGACAAAATTTTGTTTCAAAGATATTACGTACACAAGCCTCGATCATTACTATATCTATTTAATATTAGTTCATTTATTTATACTTTGTCAATATACTTAGTTGCCATTTATTTGTTTATAAGCATATTCAATTTTATTTCTACATACTTATACATATATTTGTCATTAATTGTTGATATTGTCCAACACTACATTGGCTTAGTCTTAGCATTGGAATTAACTGGCGCTGGACGTAGTTCTCCAACTTGATTGTGTTTTGTTTGGAAAGCATGATTAATGCACGTGCTTATAAAGAACTGGACTATTCCTCATATTCTTAATGGTTTTACGGTTCAAACTACACTTCCTGTCATTCCGTGTGTGCTTAGAATATTACATTGTTGTGTTGGGGTTTAGGCCAAGTGGCGAAGGACGGTGGGTACTAGGTTAGGAATAGGATAGGTCAATTGCTTGCTTACTCTAATGTAACCGGAAAAAAAAAAATCACTGAATAATTTTATTTGTTTTCAAGATACATCTATGACGTCATATTCATTCGATATCTAAGTCATTGGGTTAGCCCAAATAGCGAAAGATGGTGAGTAAAAAAACCCCAAAATTTCAGCACACAAGTTTTGCCAAATATAGCCAAAAAGGTTGTTGTGAGCCAGAGTTCGAAACAATAGATTTTCTTTGAAACCAAAACGAGAAAAATATCCATTGTTACAGCTTACAAGTCTAAAAAGCAGTTCTAACGGACGAGAAAATTCATGGCACAAAAGATTGGAGATTACTGTCATCTGCAATGATGATCAGTTCATTTGAGTACAGATAAATGTTATGAGGAACCAATGATACAACAAACCCACTTCTCTTTGTGGTCGGTGACCACAACTAATTCACCTTTAAGAAAAATTCAAATTATTCGTACAAATAAAATAATCCAACAGCTTCACCTCCCGAGTTTGGAGCAGTCTTAACCACTTCATGGTGACATCCTCCTCTGTATCAAGACCAACACTTGCTGCCAACCATCGTACTCCTGCACGAAAACTTCAGCATTCGATTCTAAATACAGCAGACACCAAAGTTTCAGAATGTTCAAGCAGACATTTTCGTCTATTTTCACTGTACTGCTGATTGCAAATATGCAGATAGCAATACTAGTTGTGGCTGCAGTTGAACCTGCAGCTGTGGGCAGCGAACCAGTTCTGGAAATATACATGCATGACATCCTTGGAGGGAGTAGCCCTACGGCTAGGCCAATCACTGGCTTGCTAGGCAATATATACAGCAGTGAAGTGCCCTTTGCAAAGCCGATAGGGTTCCTTCCTCCAGATGGTGCTGTGGCTATTCCTAATGCCAACGGTGCCATTCCAACTGTGAATGGAGGCAATGGTCTCCCACTAGGAACCGGCTTATCTGGTACATCCTTCGCTGGAAATCCTAATGGTGAAAAGAATGGCAATACAGCTACCCAACTGGCACCAGACGGGTTGGGACTAGGCTTTGGGACAGTCACCGTTATTGATGACATACTGACCTCTAGTCCCGAATTGGGTTCACAGACAATTGGGAAAGCTCAAGGAGTCTATGTGGCAAGCTCTGCGGATGGATCAAGTCAGCTGATGGCATTTACGGCTATGATGGAAGGAGGGGAGTACAATGATAACCTCAACTTCTTCGGAGTGTACAAGATTGGGAGTAGCAAGTCACAACTGTCAGTGACTGGCGGAACGGGCAAGTTCAAGAATGCCAATGGAATTGCAGAGTTGAAACCACTGATTCCTCCAGGTCAACGAGCAACAGATGGTGCAGAAACATTGCTAAGGATTACCGTTCACTTGAAGTACTGAGGATGTCTGGTCCGTTGTGCGGATTTGAATGTGATATATAGTGTCTGTGATTGTATTAGCTACAGTTGTATGTGGAGTATCTCTAAATTGTAATCTTCTCTTTAACTGTTGTTCTCAAGTATGGCAATGCAGCAATGCCTAATGAAAGGAATCTATTTCAAGTGATCCGCTGAAGGCAAGGAACAAACTCAAACAGAGAAGGTCGTCAACACTTTGTAGATCATTAAGTCGGGCTTGGATATTCTAGTATTCTACCGATGAGTTTAACAATGTCAGGAACCAAATTTACTCAGTATCAATCTCAACAGCAGTAATATGTTGTGTTACGCTGTCCTTCGTGCAGGGCTTCCTGATTGTGATATGTTCTGTTGTCATGGTGACTTTTTCAACTGGAATAGATTCAGAATCATGTCGGGTTAATACTTTCTCTCCGTGTGTTGCAAGCATAAAGTATACTAACCTTGTGTGGTTGCGAAGAAAATGGCAGAGAAAGTATTAAAGAGAGCAAAATTTAAAATATTCAACATTGTTTCTTACTGGCTGCTAAAACTTAAAAGTGACCAAGATTTTCAATCCTGTTATTTAGCAGAAAACTAAACCGACTTCTCATGCTATCTAGTTTTGCAAAGATCAAGTTTGAGGGGATGACGACATCCCTTACAAGTATGGCTTTTTCCACCTAACATTTTCCTTGGGGTGCATGTATTTTGCAATGTTGTTCAGCAGATGGAACCTCAATTACTCAGCTAAGAAGTAAGGAATCATCTATCATTCACAGATGATTTTATTTGGGAAATCTCCGTTTTGTATGATTTCGATATATTTAATTAACACTCTGGAAAAACATTCAGGTGGAGCATTGATGTCGGATGGACTAGTACATGAGTAAAAATCATCAAAGAATGCAGCTTCAGTATTCTGTAAGTAACTCCGCATGTATGATTTCTTAGTTAGATTGCTTCTGTACACGTAAATCGGTTTATTTTTGTGCATGCCATTATCTTTCTTGGTTTTTCTTTTAAATTTTATGCAGTATGGACGTTGATTTCGCCGGCGGTGAGGCAGTCGTAAGTGATGGATCGTGAAGAGGCTGTGCAGGAGATTGATAACTCAGATGTGCCATGATTGATTGATTATGTAATCTCCATTTGTTACATGGCCATTGTTTTTTCTGTATCAATTATTCTTCAAACAAGTCACCGAATATACAGAGACGAATAAGCCATTAGTTTCCTTTATTTTTCGGGAAAACCCGAGAGCCAATAACACTCCAGCAATGCTATAACGGCTGTCAATTCCGATAGAAAAAAATTGTACTCCTTGAAACTGCTGTTGTATAACGGAAGTCCTTTATGAATTAGTATTTATTTGCATCAATAGCCATTATAAATAGATTCAACCAAAAAATAGGCTCAGGTACGTGATACTATCATTACCGCCTGAGCAATTAGACATCTAATCTGTAATCGCAACAACCCAACTGAGCTCTTTATAAATAGAGAAGTGATAGGTTGGAGACGGTTGTCCTGAATGCGGATGGCACCCGGTATGAGTATATGGAGCTGGGGAAGGATTAATGTCTGCCGAGAAGAAAGTGGAAATTCATTATTCATCTTTGTTGTATAATGTGTTTGGCATATTGTGAAAAGCAAGTTACAAAATTATACATTTCTTATAAGATTATACAATTAATCAGTTATGCCAAATTTGTACTAACATGAAAACAATTGCATATCACGTATTTGCAATTTTTCTATGGGCATGCCATCCATTTATTCAAGGATATACTGTTCATATGGTGTCGATAAATATTTTTGTTATTTACTGGTACAAAGGACGGTCGAGTCTAAAAGAACAACAAACAAATAAAAGATAATAGCCCTATCAAGAGCCCGACTCTTCATGTCATCCTCGATAAGTTTTTTATGACATTAGCATAGCTAACATTTCATTATCAAAATGTTTCATCATGTTACCCAATATTATCAACACAATATAACCATTAATATTATTGTTCCAAAATCCATCCTTTGGTGCCTTAAAAGGAGAAGTTTTTTTTTTGTACGAGCAACATGCACATAGATTTTTTATGGTGCCTTAAAAGGGTACGTCAAATGGCCATAAAATTAATATAACATATCCAAGTCAAAAGAAATTTGTTATAAGAAGTCAAATTTTATTTCAATAGTCTATGACAGTTGGTTTGGTTGTACCCAATGCACAGTGGACACATCTCCCACTGCTATCCTATCAACCACTAATTGCATAATTTGCGTATACTTTTTAGCTTAAATTAAAGACCTAATTTCTGTCTAAAAGTCCTACAACAAGATGCACATTTAAACGACTCCATCTCACTAATCCCATTTCTCCATTCTATATAAAAGCAGAAGCCATTTCCCAGACTCTTAACACTCACAAAAGCGCTTTCCCTTCTCCTTCAAAATCCTCCAAACCCCATCAAAATACAAGAAAAAATCACTTCCAACTCTTCAACATGTTCAACCAGTCACTTCTTTCGATTTTGGTCACATTGCTAATTGCCTCAGTGGTTAAGGCAGCGGTTGACCCAGTCCAAGCCAGTGGCCATGAGCCAATCCTTGAGATGTACATGCATGACATCTTGGGAGGCAGCAGCCCCACAGCTAGGCCCATCACCGGTCTACTTGGCAACATCTACGGTGGCCAAGTGCCTTTTGCCAAGCCCATAGGCTTCCTGCCGCCACAAGGCGGGGTAGCCATTCCCAATGCTAATGGAGCCATTCCAACCGTCAACGACGTTAATGGGATTCCACTTGACACCGGTTTAGCTGGTACAACATTCTCTGGAAAACAAAGTGGTCAGGTTCCTCAGACTCCATTGAGTGCAGATGGTTTGAGCCTGGGATTTGGAACCATCACTGTCATCGATGATATTTTGACGACATCACCTGAGCTGGGCTCGCAGACAATTGGAAAGGCCCAGGGCGTCTACGTGGCCAGCTCAGCTGACGGGTCGACGCAGATGATGGCGTTCACAGCCATGATTGAAGGAGGTGAGTATGGGGACACCTTGAACTTTTATGGGATATTCAAAATTGGGATGTCCATGTCACACTTGTCTGTGACTGGAGGGACTGGCAAGTTCAGGAGTGCAAGTGGGTTTGCTGAGGTCAGGTCCCTCATACCTCCTGGCCAACACGTCATTGATGGGGCTGAGACTTTGCTCAGGATCATCGTCCATCTAAGTTATTGAGAATTCTATGTTGTGGAGATTTACTTCAAAGTTTGATTTGATTTGATTTTACCGCAGGTTAATGCTGAAGTTTTTCAAATTTGAATTTGAATTTGTATTTCAATTCTAGTTTTCTTATTCATATATACAAGCACAAATTAGTTAGTTTCTTCGAATTATCGAAAACTATTGCAGTTGTGTTTTGGATCTTTAAGTCCAAGCTCATCAGTGGAACAAGAACAATGACAAAGGCCGTGTAAGTATCAATGTATTAAAAGCGTCAGGTGTGGACTAGGCGTACGAGGGATAGCCCAGCCTAAGCGTGAAGCGAAGCCTCACGGGACCTAAATTTTTTAATATATACACTGAGCGTACACATATATTATATTAAAAAAGAAGAAGATTATTAATCAATAATCACTCTGAGCAAGAGGTATAAGGTAGTTAAAACCCTACCCAAAATTTGGGTATGGGAGTATATATAAAAAAAAAAAAAAAAACAAAAAAAAAAAATTCCCCTGAGGTGCGCCTAGGCGGCTTCAGCGGCACTTTCCGCCCACTCCCTCAAAACAGAGATGGCAACCTTCACGCCCAGCCTCAGAGGACGCCTAGGCGAGCCTTTTAAAACATTGGTAAGTATACAAAAGTGAACAAACTAAAGATTACCAGAAAGTCGAGGTTTTTTCGATAATTGGATTTACAGTAAACCGTGCCTTCTTACAAATCGAGCTTGAACGAATTGCTCCATTTTCTAGCAATCCAAGAAACTCCTATGAAGGGGAAATATGCAGTGCTATTCCTTTGTTTGAGGAAACAGATGGAATATGGAATATTTTATTTAGAATTGTTCTGCAACAGCACATACTGAAATAGTAGGTTAGAAGCGGCAAGAAAATTATACGCAAAAAAGAGAGAAGAAAGAACAAGGGAAACATGGTTGATTTCAATTTTCTTTCAGGATGTGGTCATCTGTTAGCCATAGGTATTGAATTTTAGGTTGAAAGCCCCCAGTACCTGCCCAAGTCCTATGACAATTGTCGGACAATAGCCACCAAGTGACCGAGACCTTAGCGGACATACCATATGTACGTAACACATAATTGCTACCGTGTACAGTTGAAATGCTTCTTCATAGCAGCCTAATGGCTAATGTGGCCTTCATCAAACCATCGTCTTGGACACTCTTTGTTGGTCCAACCATATGCTCTTCGCAGAATGCAAGTTATGCAACTAAACTTGCAGGTATGCAAGACAATGGTTTGATGAATGTGACAAGAATCATTGGTTAACTCAGAGACGTATGTTTCGGATTTCTATTATATAGTGTGGATTTGGAAGACACGTACAACCGTGTTTCAACGAGCCCAGCTGAGGGGACCAGAATACACTCGTAATGACTGATCCTCCATCTTCAATAACCGGAAGGAAGAGATACTAAAACCCCATGGAGACACTCACTCAGAGAGTGCAAACTAACGAGAAATGCTCCAACGAAAACGCCCCTCACCTTAGTTTTCAACTTTCTGTGGCTGCTGAAGTGCTTTCACTTCTATTGTATCTATAGTAGTCTATCAGTTGTACTGGGAATTTGTCAAGGGAACGGGGAGGCTTTTCGAATCAAAGTTCTGTGCCCTTTCAGAAAGAAAAAAAAAACCCGAACCTTCCACCATGCCTTTCAAGGATTAAATGAATGAAAAAATGAATCTAAACAAATAAATGATTAAAATTACAAGACCGCATTGGACATGAACCATCATAAGTACCTACGGAAGAAAATAGAAAGACAAATGAAGCAAATCCAAGGCAACCAAAAGGGACAATTGAGAAAATCAAGAGAACCCTTGATAGAATCAATGGGAAGAGAGCCTTGGAAGCGAAAGCAGGCACTGAGATTTCAAAGAGGAGAGATTGTTGAACTTAGGTGGGAACCAAATGTACGAGGAACCAGATTTAAGGAGTCCCCAACAGCCAGAGGTAGAGGCATTAAGAAACACATAGCACAGGAAAGTTTTTGCCAGAAAATGACAGACAACTTTCATCGCTTTTAACTCGCCGAAAGGCGAAAGCTCACTTAACACGTTGGCTGACATTCCTATCCAAAGTGAGTAAAACCCATATCTAGCAAAATTCGAAACAAGCAGTGCTGTTCCTAGTGTTGTGTTGTGTTGTGTTGTGTGTAAGGATAAGAATATTTGTGCCTTGGTGGAGAGTGATTGCTTTTTATCGAGCATGGATAAAACTTGTTTCCTTCCTTCAGTGGCTTAGGCTTAGCATTGGAATTAGCTGGAGCTCGACGTAGTTGTCCAACTTGATTTGTGTTTTGTTTGGTAAAACGTGATGAACACATGCGCTTATAAAGAATTGGACTACTCGTATTCTTAATGGGTTATATGGTTCACACTACACTCCCTGTCATTCCGTGAGTGCTTAGAATATTACATTGTTGTTTCGGGGTTTAGCCCAAGTGGTGAAGAACGGTGGGTAATAGTTTAGGATTGGGATAGGTCAATTGTTCGTTTACTCTAATGTAACCGAAAAACAGAGGAGTACATTGAATATTTTTATTTGTTTTCAAGATACATCCATAACGTCATATTCGTTCGATATCAAAGTCATTAGCCCAAGTAGTGAAAGATGGTGGGTAATATTTTAGAATTAAAATAGGCCAAATAATTGATTTTCCCGAATGTAACAGAGAAAAAAATAACTCTATATTTATTTTTTTTTTTCAAGCAAAAAAAAATCCAAAATTTCAGCACACAGGTTTTGCCAAATATAGTCAGAAACGTTGTTGTGAGCTAGATTTCGAAACGAGATTTTCTTTGAAACCAAACCGAAAACGAGAGATTATTCATTGTTAGAGCTTACTAGTACAAAAAGCAATTCAAACGAACGAGAAAAATCATGGCACAAAAGATTGGAGATTATGGTCATCGGCAAAGATGATCAATTCATATAATTGGACTACTCCTCGTATTTTTGATAGGTTTTATGGTTCAAATTACACTCCAGGTCATTCCATGAGTGCTTAGAATGTTACATTGTTGTGTTGGGGTTAAGTCGAAGTAGTGAAGGACGGTGGGGAAAAAGGTTAGGATTAGGATAGGTCAATTATTTGGTTTACCTAATATAACCGAAAAACGAAAAATCACTGGATATTTTTATTTGTTTTCAACATACTTCCATGAAGTCATATTCATTCGATATCAAAGTCATTGGATTCACGGCATTAGCCTAAGTAGCGAAAGATGGTGGATAAAATATTAGAATTAAGATAGGTAAAATAATTGATTTCCTCCAATATTTCTTTTACTTTCAAGCCAAAAAACTCAAAATTTCAACACAGGTTTTGCCAAATATAATTAGAAACGTTGTTGTGAGCCAAATTCCAAAACAAGAGATTTTCTTTGAAGCCGAAAATGAGAAAAATATCCACTGTTACAGCTTAAAAGTACAAAAAGCAGTTCATTTAAGATGATCAGTTCATTTAAGTACAGAGAAATGTTATGAGGAACCAATGAAACAACAAACCCACTTCTCTTTGTGATCTGTGACACAACTAATTCACCTGTAACCGAAATTCATATTATTCGTACCAATAAGATAATCCAACAACTTCACCTCCTGAGTTTGGAGCAGACTCAACCACTCCATGTGACAACCTCCTCTATATCAAGACCAACACATGTTGCCAACCATCGTACTTCCGCACGAAAACTTCAGCGTTCGATCCTTAATCCAGCAGATACCAAAGTTTCAGGATGTTCAAGCAGACATTTTCGTCTATTTTCACCGTACTGCTGATTGCAAACATGCAGACAGCAATACCACTTGTGGCTGCAGTTGAACCTGCAGCTGTTGGCAGCGAACCAGTTCTGGAAATATACATGCATGACATTCTTGGAGGGAGCAGCCCTACTGCTAGGCCAATCACTGGCTTGCTAGGCAATATATACAGCAGTGAAGTGCCCTTTGCAAAGCCGATAGGGTTCCTTCCTCCAGATGGTGCTGTGGCTATTCCTAATGCCAACGGTGCCATTCCTACTGTGAATGGCGCCAATGGTCTCCCACTAGGAACCGGCTTATCTGGTACATCCTTTGCCGGAAATCCTAATGGTGAAAAGAATGGCAATACAGCTACCCAACTGGCACCAGACGGGTTGGGACTAGGCTTTGGGACAGTCACCGTTATTGATGACATACTGACCTCTAGTCCCGAATTGGGTTCACAGACAATTGGGAAAGCTCAAGGAGTCTATGTGGCAAGCTCTGCCGATGGATCAAGTCAGCTGATGGCATTTACGGCTATGATGGAAGGAGGGGAGTACAATGATAACCTCAACTTCTTCGGAGTGTACAAGATTGGGAGTAGCAAGTCGCAACTGTCAGTGACTGGAGGGACGGGCAAATTCAAGAATGCCAATGGAATTGCAGAGTTGAAACCACTGATTCCTCCAGGTCAACGAGCAACAGATGGTGCAGAAACATTGCTGAGGATTACCGTTCACTTGAAGTACTGAGGATGTCTGGTCCGTTGTGTGGATTTGAATGTGATATATAGTGTCTGTGATTGTATTAGCTACAGGTGTATGTTGAGTATCTCTAAATTGTAATCTTGTGTTTAACTGTTGTTGTAAAGTATGGCAATGAGGCAATGCCTAATGAAAGGGACCTATTTCCAGTGATCTTCCTACCACTGAAGGCAAGGAACAAAATCAAACAGAGAAGGACCCCAACACTCTAATCTGTGATTCTGAAACATGACACACATCATCATGAAAAAACTGAAGCACCAAAACAAACTGCAGTCTACGGGAAAATATGATGCCACAATAGCTGGCAACTCCAACAGAAAGGAAGAATAAGGGATCCCGCTAAAATCTACAGAAGCAGATGCCCAAAATGCTGACCAGAACATAACTAAATCCCAAAGATCTTCTGCACTAACCCCTTTGTAATCCTCAAAATTCTCTTACTATGCTCCATCCAAATTACCAAAAAGATTGCTCACTCCAGACAACTCTTACTACATTCCCAAAGCCTCGAGCTGAATGCTCAACAACTCAAAACATCCCTTTGGAATGACCCAGCATGCATTGATTTCCTTAAATAGCTCCCAACACTAATGTAAGGATCAAGGAAGGTGGAGATTCACTTGATCCTCAGATTCGTCTTACATATCATGGAAGATGTGTTACCATTGATCATGTTCACTAATAAAATGCATATTAAGTCTAACATATCAATTTAGACCTGTAATTTCTTTCCCTGATCATTAACTTGATTTACTTTTCCTATTCGGGTATTGTTCATGTCTTCACATGCATGAGTTGATTAATTCCTAGGTTAAAGGACAAGCTGCAGTCACAACTTACTCTAAACTAATATTTGGGCATGGAAACATAGTTACTGTCCTCAATGGTGAATCCAGAGAGATGATGACACAAGCATGAAGATACTCTATGATATAAACATCCGAAAAAAGTTACACTCTCCAGTTGATCTTACAAAACAAGAAAACTACTAGCCGGTTCTGTACATCCTACTGGACCGGACTGGACCAGGTTTGCTAGAGTAAACATAAAAAGAATAAATTCTCTGCTCACATATGAGATAGAATACAGAAAAAGTGAAGAAATTTTAGTGCCGATGGTCAGTAACTAACTAGTGAATAAACAAACTATGGCCCTTCAAGAAGGCCTCACTGCCACAAACAGGCTTAGTCGTCTTATCCTCAAAGAGAATATCCCTGTAGAACCAAATCCTCTATGAAACCAATATAACGGGAGTTGGGAAAGGCATAGCAGCTTACAACTTGTATGGATCACCAATATTTTCTTTTTCTGTCTTTGACGTTTGAAATTTCAAGCTGTTTCTTTATATCACAAGGAAAGGTTTAAAATACAACGAAAAAAGTTCAAAAGCAAAACAAAGCTCGGTTTCAAATACTTTACAAGGAAATGCTTCCAATTATTATAGTATTTTCCAGTAAATGATTCAGGAACTTTACCTTCAAAAACAAAGTATCATTTGTTATTCATCATTCATGTAATTGCTTAATATGTGTGAACTCTAAACAAAAATAGGTCTAATGGTAATCAACATACCACACATACAGCTCTATATCTTTCATGACAAGCTGCCGATTTTAACATGAGAAAGCACGCATACTTCATCGAGCCTGTAGAGTGAATCTATCAAGTGCATCCGCAACGAAGCTGGACCATTTGCCAGTTTCATTCCCACCTCGCTCGCAATCCCAAATATCGATAATGCACAAGCTGTAGCTTCCAAAACATGCGATTGATCAACAGCAACAAAGGCAGCAATCAGGGCAGTGACTGAACATCCGGTTGCCGTGATCCTTGTCAACATGGCAACCCCATTACGAGCACCAACAACTCTCTTCCCATCTGTAACAATGTCGACAGCTCCAGAAACCGCAACTAAGGCACCACTGGATTGAGCCAGTGATTTTGCTGATTCGATTGCATCTGTTGATTCATGGGAACTGTCCGCCCCCTAAAAACAACAAATTTGAAATATGGTATTCACAAAGGTTTAATATGCAATACAAAATGTCAAGATTATTTTAGTATGCAAAGGGAACACAACAACCTTATCCTTGGCAGCCCATAAAAGCCAAAATTTTGGCTTGACTTCAAATTAAATACCTCGTAGCCAAGTTCACTACAGTATTATGGACCCAAGTTCGAATATTTTTTGACGTAATTTAAATTAGATTAGAACGTTGGTCTAAACAAAAAAAAAAATCCTAATTCCCAAGCAAAAGTCAAAATAAGCTTTTAACTCCTTGTTTTTTTTTCTTTTTTTTTTAACAAACAAATTAGCTATCAATAATATGATTCAAATTCGTTTTTTACAAGAATCAAAGCTAAAACCTCTCACTTACAAATGAAGAAGAATATTATTAAACCGCGTACTATTAAGTAGCTCAACTCATTGTTCTCAAACAGCAAAATTTGGTACCGAAAATGAATGTCTGAAATTAAAAATTAATCGAACATTTTGTGATCAAGCAGAGAACAATTACCTTGGTAGGTCCCACAGAAGCATTGGCGAGGGCGATAATCTCGGACGCATTTCCCCTAATAACAGTAGGCTTAAGCTCCACAAGCTCCAAACAAGCCTTCATCCGGAAACCTGAGGCGCCGGCGGCAACTGGGTCGAGAACCCAAGGCTTGCCGGAGTTGTGCGCGAGTTCAGCGGCGACCTTCATGGCCTGTAACCAGTCGGCGGAGAGCGTGCCCACGTTGACGCAGAGTGCGTGGACCTGAGGCGTGAAGTCGGGGAGTTCTTCTATGGAGTGGAGCATGGCGGGTGATGCACCCGCGGACAAGAGAGTGTTGGCCATCAGATCCATTGACACGAAGTTGGTGATGCACTGGATGAGCGGTGATTTGGCTCGAACTGAAGATAGTAGGGCCCACGCTTTCTGGGCCCACACGATTGCCTCTGGTTCTTCTTCTTCTCCCTTGAAGTTGGACTTGCTCTCCATGATTTCTCTTTTGCTTGGCCGCAAGCTGTTCCGGATGTTTGGGGGGTTTTTACCAGGAGAAAGTAATGAACTCTAATTTTTCTAATTGCATTTTTGGCCCTCATGTTTGGTGTGATTTTAAAATATGCCAATAGTTTCAAAATGTTTCAAATTGCACCTTATTTTTTTTAAATCTTATCAAATAAGAAAATACCAAGTACCAAAACTAATAAAATTATGCGAGTTTCTGGTCAAATAGAACCGAACCACACTAATTACGGTTTGATTCAGTTTATTAGTCCAACTGTTCAAGATTACACTTTTAGTGTTAACCACTTAGGTCTCATTTGGCACGTTGTATTAAACACCGGATAAGATTAATAGTACGATAGTAGTTGTTTGGTGCTCTCTCGTACTAAATAAGCACCCGCTTAATTATACCATCTATCAAATTTAGTATTGCTGACACCGGACAATTAATACAACCCAAAAGCTTGATATTAGTAGTCTGGGATGCTAACCAAAAACACGGTCGCTTCCCCTCTTCGGTTTCACGGATCTGCTCCTTGGCGAATTTGCTCCATCTTCACGAGTTCTCCACCTCGACCGCCACTCCTCTACAATCGGTCGCTGAGCAATTTCCCATTTCGTCCGTCGCTTCCTATTCTGTCACGTTTCAATCGTCGATGTCGAAGCACGACGACATAGATGAAGAGGTAGTTGAGATCAAGAAGCCCGATTGATCATCAACATCAATAGACTTAGCAGCTCAATCATCTTTTGCTGCTGACGGCGTAAGATCCAGCTCTGACGACTTTAGTTAACTCGAACCATGCCACAAATTGATGTCTTTTCTTCATCAATTTAGTTGGTGAATCGATGTGGATTTTGGGTGATTGAAGAAATGAGGAAGTGGATTCGTATGGGAGGGTGGAATTTGAAGCGTGGGCAAGATGGAGAAGAAGGGAAGATAGGTTGGGAAAGAGACCTGGATTTTTCACCTTCCTTTTCTTTAATTTTTTTTTTAATTTTGTCTTAATGATAGTTTAGTTACTTCTTCTTTTTCTTTCTTCTGTTTTTCTCCCCTTTTTTTCATTTTAACAACAATTATTATGTGATTGTTGCAGTCCTATTAGATTAGGAATGCGATTGTGCAAATCCTATCATATCTGGAATATCCTTGTAGGATTCTACCATATCTCTTAGACTAGATATTATCCTATTAGAGTTGTAATCCTATTAAGGTAAGGATTTAACCTATCCTCCTACTATAAATAAAGGCACAATAGGGTGAGATAACATACACCTCACAATTACACATCTCTCTTCTCTCTCTATGCCACACCCCTCTCTCTTTCTGGCCTCCATAATTGTTCAGTAAATTATGCCTACAACACGTTATCAGTACGTTATTGACGCTGCGCTAAAGAGAGTTTATTCTTCAATCAAGGGAGTATTACGTTTTAATAATTCTTTTATGGTTAATTTATTATTTCATTGAATTGATCTACATCCTATTGATTCAATTTAATTTTTTTTGTTTTTGTCGAACGTGATACAACACATTGGAGATGCAAATTCGGCTTTTAGAGTAGGATCTTCTATATATTCAAAGGCTCAGTTGTTTTCTGCCAATTAGGTTCTTTTAAAATAAATTAAGATATTTGAAACGACCATGAAGCAAGAAAACATTCTCCATGATGCATAAACCCCCTATATTTATATTTTCCTTTCGATATATATTTTTTATATGTTCATATACTTGTCAATATATATATACGTTCATGCATTACGTAATTATGAATTTACTATGTGGAATTTGTGAGTCAAATAATTGAAAGAAATTAGAAGCAATTAGGGTTTTTCAAACCTTAGGAATTTCGAAAAGAAAAAAAAAGGGAAATTTAAATTTGGGAAATTTGCGGCTGAGCCGCGACCTGGAGCTGTACTGCCACGTCAACCTGACACCAAGCCGAGCCTACAGCTTGAGGCTTAGGTGCTGGAATGACGTTTTATTGACGTCCCCGTGAAGTAGCAGCCCTTTAGGCTTTGCTGCGTTCATAAACAAAGCCCTCGGCTTGGGTTTTGAAATTTAATGGCTCGCAGCCCTCTAACACACATACTAGCATGTGATGGGTTTGTCCAACGCCTTCAGCCCACCAACCAACAAGCATAGCTTGCTAGGTTTATCTCGCGCACCAACCCATCAGCCAATCACTAAATGGGCTTCCTTCTACAATTGGCCCACGTTCCAACTGCAAGGCTTCAACTTGCTTTGCACGCTGGGTTTCTGCTTCCTGGCCCAACCTTGAAACCAGCACTGCTGGGTTTCCTCCACACCTGGGCCCGTCTCTTCCCTTCAGCCCAAACCTGCATCAAGCCTGCAGTTTGCCCTGCAGTGGACTGGGCTGTCTTGCAGTCGTGTTGTGACTACCTGTCCCAAATGTTACGATTTTATTAGTTTTAGAAGAGTGAATTGACGAATATGCCCTAGAGGTGAGATGGTTAACTTTGTTGACCGTCATTTTATGATGTGTACACGCTGCTATTTTAGTGTATTCTCGAAATACTCGATAGTACGAACGGGTAGGCGCAATTAGAATAGAAATCGGAGTTACGGTTAAAATTTTATGGAACTACAAATTCGAAAGTTATTTTTGAAGAAATTACTATTTTAATTATCTTATACTATTTTATATTTCTAAATTATTATTTTATTATTTTAGGATTGGATTTTTTATTACATTATATTAATTTATATTTAGCCGTGGGACCCATAATCACACCAAGTTTCATCTCCCCTCTCTTCCACGTGGCACTCTCATTACTCTCTCTGGAATCCTCCCGCACTCATCTTTCTCAGCTCTCTCTCAATTCACTCCTTGTTAACTTTCTTGTTTCCCATTTCCTTTGCAAACAACAACGAGGCACCACCTTGCCTCGCCAACTCCAGCATTCGTTCCCACATTTCCCATGAGCCAGTGCCACCATCGCCTCTTTCTTCCTTGTCTCGATCCCAAAATAAAAGCCTAGAACCTTGACAATGACAGAGGTTACTAACCTGTGTTCCTCTGACGAACCTACAACAGATTCTCGACGATTCCAACTAAAGTAAGCTTTGAAATGGATGGCAACCATCTTAGATCATTGTTTTTTACATGATCCTTGTTTTATTTGAGAGAAATATCGAAGTTTTGGAGCATATCAGTTTGGGAGAAACTCTCCCCAGTTTTTCGGTGACCCGAAGCCTTGCAGGCGCTTTCCCAGCGACTTTCCAACCACGGCTATGAGCTAAAATGGTATAAATCGAATCTCCTTCCTCCTAGCTTTATTTTGGCACTTAAATGGTGAAGTTTGGTTGAGAATGGAGCTCGGCTGGAGCTCTGGAAAACAAGCCCAATTCCGGCAGGTGCAACCTGAGGGTCCAATGGGCTTGACCTGTTTAAAAAAAAAGGGAAAGAATGGGGCTTCAGCCCAAACTCAGCCCAAACCATAAACCCAACCCTTTGGGCCTTTGTCCCAGGGCGACCCATTTCTGAATGGGCTTAGAATATTCTGAGAATATTCTTGGAATATTCTTTAGGTTGACTTTTCTGAAATTTTTTTAGGAACCTTCCTAGGCTAATTTCGACGCCTCGAGTCTATTTTTGATATCCATTTAGTGGAATTCTAAATTTTTAATGTAGTTGACCACCGAGGTGATTACTATCGGAGACTCCGGCTATCCTAGTTCGAACGGCTACGACTTCGCAAGTAATGTGAGTGGGTATTTTCTTTATATATATATATATATATATATATATATATATATATATATATACCAAATGGGGCGGAACTAATGGTAGGAGGCATAGCCTTCCATATAATTCAGAGTGCGGAAGTAAAGCATATAAAAACAAAGAAACATATCAATATATTGAATTAAAAAGAACAGCAGGAGGCATAGCCTTCCATATAATTCAGAGTGCGGAAGTAAAGCATATAAAGAAAATAATGAATTAAATGTAATGATGCAAATATATTTTTGAAAATAAGTTTTATTGAAAACTTACTGCAATGCAGATTACATACAGGTATTGCCTAATGGCAGATGAAACAAGTAAACAAGGTGGAGCTCGTAGGCATACTAAATAATATATGTATTACAAGTGTTTGGAAAATATTCTCTGTCATTTGTGGATAAGCAGAGAGATGATACTGAGCTGTTGAGTTAAAAAACTCGTTTTTTTTCTCTTCTGAAGATGAATTCCTCTTTTATAGAGGGAGGAGAACGAATGAGGAATGCAGTCTTGATCCGGGAATCCCGCTGGCATGAGGAGAAAGCTGGCAAAGCTGGCTGATTGAAGAATCCTTACTGTGGAGTCACGTTGTTTTCTTCCAAAAGTTGAGTGAATAGTAAAGATGCTTTGATTCTTTTACAAAAGTTAAATGAATAGTGAAGATGCTTTGATTCTTTTACAAAAGCTGGATGAACAGTGACCTTTTTGTTTTTCACTATTGGAGAATAATGCCTTGTCTTTTACGGAAGAGATGAAAGCAGCTACTGCTGATGATGTTGTTGGGCTGACACAATCATATGGGCAAAAAAGCAATTTCAAAAATCAAACGGATCTTGTGCGTCTTGAAGGTCCACTTGATCAGCCCAATTGGCGGGAGGTTAAGATCCTGCATCAGAAGCGTCAGAGTCCGAATCGGAACCTTTCTTTTTCTGGAGCATTGCTGCTTCGGCCATGAGCAGTTGGGCCATATCCAGAAGCTGGGTAGTCTTTGCAGATTTTTCTTTCTTCGAGCTCGAGGATTTGGCTGACTTGGACTTTCCTTTGAGGGAGGAGGATGGACTAATGTCTGATAGAGATTGAACTGGTTCTTGAGCTTTCGGGAGTTCAGGGAATTGCTGAGTGTCTGGCAAGGCCTGTGAAGAAGATGCAGCAATTGCTGGGGAAATTCTGCATGAACTAGATCAATAATCTTTTGGTAGTTGAATTTGTCCCACCATTTTACCCACCGGGTCCTGAAAATTCCTCCGTTGTCTAACTGGAAATTCCAT